ACCATTGTTATTTAGTTTTTATCTTTTTATTACTGCTTTTGGACAATTATATGTGTATTTCCTTGTCTTTTCTGTAATTGGTATGTTTTGTTATTCAAATTTCATTGTAAATTTCTGTATAGGATTACTCTAATTTTACTGCTTTTGGATAATTACTCTCTAATTGTAAAGTTCTACGATGTGCAATTGTTTAAAATCTTCATGTTTCTTTGAGTTCGTTCTAAATTTGTTTATATGTTTGCTCTAATCTTACTGCTTTTGGACAATTACTCTCTGACTACAATGTTCTGCAATGCACACTTGATTAAAGTCTTCATGTTTCTTTGAGTTTCATTATAAATTTATTTATGAGTTTGCTCAAATCCTATTGCTTTTTAATAATGCATATTATTGTATAGGTTGATTTTTATCATCTCATATAAGAAGAGGTATCTCGGAACCATTCCTTGCAATTTATTTTTATATAATTATTATGGTTTAGTAAAATTGTTTATTACAAAACATGAGCTTATAATGTCCCAATGTGTTGTGCAATTGGTTTAGTAAAATTGTTTATTACAAAACATGAGCTTATAATGTCCCAATGTGTTGTGCAATTTTATTTTCAATGTAATAAGAAATGTGGTTTCTTTTTTACTAGAACATTAGTTCATAATGATATTGCTATTCATGCTTGACTCTATATTATATCTTGGGATTAGTAGAGTTTGGAATATGATATAAAGTATTAATTTTAATTTATTTTCTTTAACTATTCTACTTGAAGATATTATTATGTCAATTCATATTTTTCTTAAGAAATCAATTAAGATGTCCCAATTAAGCCTATAATATCCAAAAATACTGTGCAATTCTATTTTCAATACAATAAGAAATGTGTTTTTTTTATTGCTATAATTATAGTTCATAATGACAATTATAATATCCCAGTTAGGTACATTCATCTTAGTTTAGCTTAATAATCCATTCATTGCTTTTTAATAATATTTAAATAAGAATAATAGTAAATGTAATAATTTAATTTTACATATTTGAACTCAAGATAAATCTGACTTATTTATAGTAACAAAATAAATATAAAAAAATATTTTGGTATTTTACCACGTGCACTGCACGTGCATAAAAACTAGTATATTAAAACATCCTAACCATCCGAATTACTCGCAATGAGATATAATAATGTATATACTTTGAGGGGGAAATTGTTTCAAGGCCCCAAATTCCAAGTTCTGTTGTGCCCGAGCCCCTCCAACTTTCACCAATGTGCTGCAGCCCTTGTTTTTTGAAAAAAATTTGTCCAGACCCCTCCAGCTCACCTCCCCCAACTTCTAATCGGTAATAGTTGTTGTTTCGAGTTATTTTTCTTATATATCCGAGAGTTGTTTTGAGATGAAACTATATATATATAGAGAAGTAGAGATTGAAGAATTTTCACCAGTGTAATTAATATTTTTGTCTAACTATTTTTCGTCAGTATATATATCTTCATGAGATGCTGCTGTTAAATACTAGGGAATGAACTATTTTGATTCGACTATTGTTTCAATCGGTAATAGTTATTGTTTCGAGTTATTTTTCTTATATATCTGAGAGTTGTTTTGAGATGAAACTCAGGGCCGGTCCTGAGCATTCGGGGGCCCTAGGCAAAAACTTGAACAAAAATCTTAAAGGGGCCCTCCTATATTCAAGATTTAAAAAATAAAAAAATAAAGTGTTGCACCCAAGTAACTTTAGGGATGCCTACATAAAAAATTATATACAAATACTAAAATACATAAGATCAACAAATATTATAATTTATAAAGTTATAAAATTACCTTGAAAAATTTGAATAGTTTAACTTCAAACAAATTTCAGATCAACACGCCTGAATCCTAAAAGATGCACTTTTATCTCTTCTTCCTATTCAATAGACAAAAACAAAGTTTGGACTTAAAGATTTTTTTGGGACACGATGCAATCATTTTAAGTATGGATCACTAGCTACTGATTTTCATTGTTCAGGTACCGCACTTTGATTATACAGCCTGTATGCATATTATGATTTCTTGTTTCAATTAATTAATCACTAGTCAGCAAATATATTAAGTATAGTCTGCTTCATAATTTCATATATGTTATGCACAGATTCATACTTTGTTTATACAACTAATTCATGTATGTTAATAATGTTATGCACAGATTCGTGCTGTATAGAATCAATAACAAAGCAAAAGTATTATTAGGTCATGAAGTGATGAAACAAAGATATCATTCTATTCTAAGTATAGTCTGTTATCTGTATAGAATTATAGAAATATTCAATTATTCAAATATACTTATATACCTTGTAACCTTGACGGAGTCGCCGGCCAGAGGAGGCGCAGATGGCGGACTGCGGACGGTCCGGACGGAGTCGGGAAGAAGAAACGTCACTTCAGAGAGAATCAGAGAAGAAGAAGAGAGGTCGGCGATCAGACGGCCACTTCGGAAATCGGAGAGACCAAGGGTTTTTCGTTTTTGTATTTATAGCCTCTAACACTTTTGCATAAAAATCCTCTTACTTTTCCAATTTCCATATATATATATATATATGATGAAACTATATATAGAGAGAGAAGTAGGGATTGAAGAATTTTTACCAGTGTAATTAATATTTTTGTCTAACTATTTTTCACCAGTATATATATCTTCATGAGATGTTGCTGTTAAATACTAGGGGATGAACTAGAATTGTTGCTAACTGGGAAGCTAGGTATTGGCCTTAATACCTAATTCGCTTTACACATTAAGAAAAAAAAGACGAACTTAGATAACTGTAATCGTTATTGGCCTTCACACTTTAGGGAAACTGTGCTATCATTTTGTTTCTCACCTTAAATCACAATTTAGATTTGTGAATTAATTCTCAAACATTTTTATATTTCACTAATCCAAGATGCGCATTAATAGTAATGGATAAGATCAACTATTGTATTTTTTTTCTAAAGATTTGTGTGTTCATATATAATTAGTTTCTTTTCTAGATTTTGGGGCAATAGTTCACATAAATCTTCAAACATTCAGGTCTTTTTGGGCAGCGAAAAATCTGTTGCTCATTATCTCCCAAAGTAAATCTTCTGCCTGCCAAATATCATAAACCTAAAAGCTTTAATCATACTCCCTTTAAAGGTACAAGTTCGAAAAATTCTTTCTATGGTCAATATTACCCTAATTTTTTTGAATATTATATTGTTATCCTAATCTATTCAAATTAACCTATCTTCTTTGAATTGATATCTAAATGATTTATCATATTCATAATGAGACTTAATATATTATTGAATAAAAGAGAAACGTTTTATATAATTCAAATCATTTACTTTTTTCAGTTCGCAGAGAAATCTAAAAAATATATGCTAGCCAGCAGCTAAAAGTTTTTAGACTTTGTAAAAAACATTCACCAAGTTTTTTAAATTGCAAAAACACCCCTATATTTTCAAATTTTTATTAAAGCATCTTAAAAATTATAAATTTTACTTATTTTAATTCAGTGAGAAATCTGAAAACATATGAAAAACATTGGCTTGAAGCCACTTAAAGTGAGGTCCTTTCTACGCTAAAATGGTGATATAGTGATTACACAGTTCAAAAGTCAAAGAAAAAATTTCTACAAAGGAAAAGTAATTTAATATCTCAAAATAACAACTAATTTATATATTTGGTTGAAGGTAGGGGTGTGCAACGGTCGGTTCGGTTCGGTTTTTACCAAAATTTGAACAACCGAACCGAACCGCCTATAATTCAAAACCGAACCGAACTGTTGCAAGTCGGTTCGGTGCGATTCGGTTCGGTTTGTTCGGTTCTAACTTCATCAAACTTCTTATCGGGTTTGAGATCAGAATGTGTAGTATTGCACTATATTCGGTCGGTTCGGGTCGGTTCGGGTTAAAAAGTTTTCAAACCGACTCGAACCACCCTACTCATAAAACCGATTTTTTCGGGTCGGTTCGGTCGGTTTTTTCGGTTTGGACCGAACCATGCTCAGCCCTAGTTGAAGGAAACAATGACAATATTTCATTTAAGAGAGAGATTATTGAGTTGACGATCCCTCCCACAAAAAACTTTATTTTCTATTTTTATTTTTTACTTTATTTTTATCAATTTAAATAATCATGATATTCAACTACGTGCATTGCACGTGCATCTCAACCAGTTTTGTTAAATGAGCTACTAAAAGATAAAGTAATGAGGTCCACATCTTTTTGATGTGACCAACAAGGTTGGCATCACCACATGGCTATCTTTTGGAAGCTCTTTTGAGAAAATGAGCAACCACCTCATACCCGTTATTTCATATATACATAGAACAATATGTTGGAACTTGATATTAAGCATACGATTTTGTGCTTGATAATGAGGTTGTTCATTCTCATCCACACTCTCATCCTGATCGGTCCACCACAGACATCTTGATATAGGACACATGACAGTCAGTGAGCAACAGTCATTGCCTTCCTGTCATTTCCGCAAAGGGAAGTTTCAAGTGTCCCAGCTGCGTATACAGACCACAAACAAATGCTACCCGTTCCTTATTACGTCAAAGGCAGCTCTGTTAAAAAAAAAAACCTCTACAGTCCAGATCCGAGTTTTAATGTAAAAGAGATGATAAAATTCTAAAAGAGATGACACAATCTCATGCTCAACCAGGAACCAATTCGTTATTTAATTCATGCCAGCAGGGATCGCCATTCGAATGAGTTGGACGTTAGGCTGTTTAGAATAAAATTTGCACCGACGATGTTTCACAACACATCACCCGATATTCTGTTGAATTATCGATTTAATAAAGCAGTAGTTCAAAATTAGATTCATCATCCATTTTAATCAATTTCATATGTAAAGTAGCACAACACCAACATCTGATTTGACTCGAGTCCAAATTCAGTTTTGTTGAATGAGATCCAGACATTCTCTTGTCCTCTTCTGATAGATTTAACTAAAGCGAGCAGATTCAAAATTTTGTGTTCATCATGGTGCAGTTAGATCAACCGCCAACTCGTAATTTATATAGAGATTATTGCTAATCTCAATCAAGCTCAAAAGTCAAATAGTTATCCAATAGCAACATTTGTTCTCTAATTACATGGCGGCACTGTAAGAAACAGAGTACAGAAAATTCTAAGTGATAATCAGGGGTTTACTAACTTAAAATGATGATCAAATCCACCCAGAAGGACCAGAACTGCTTCCAAAGATTTAGATTCCTGCTTTCCAAATTCCAACTAAGAAAGCATCCCCTGAACACCCTGTACCTGCTAAAAGAAAAGCACCATTTATTACTGCACTGAATAAATATATCCTTTAGAGTTCACAATTCAACATAAAAGGCGGCACAAATTGCACTTTAGGTAATTTACATATAATCCCACTGAGGTTTGTATGGTTGACAGAAATCCCCCTAATGTTCTGAATGTGACATTTTATCCCCCTCCTTACTAACGTCTAAAAAATGAAGTTTGATATAAAAGCTAATATCACAATTGCAGGCATCACCACATGAACATATATGCGACTATTACAGCGAAAATGTCGATAACATCAAAAATTTGATGATTACTCAATTAGAAATTTCCGTCAACCATCCAAACATCTGGGTTTTTTTTATATAAAATTTTGAAGTAATTTACCCTGCATTTATTGGGAAGCTAAAATTATAAGAGGTAGAATCATTGGGAGTCCAAATACTTTAACCGGACATGGAGCAGTAATCACAGAAGCATGATAGCCAAAAAACCAGCTTACGCTAGTTAGGATATGAGAGACAAAGAAACATGATTAGATAACCCAACAGGGAAAAGGTTGACAAAACAACTCAAGAAAAAGATTCCTCGTAAGTTTTCCTAATCAAATTAATATTAAACATAAATTTTGAGGAGAAACAGAGTTTGTTTCTGATCATCATCACGCCAACGATCTACATTCCAATTATAATTAGCAATGGCTATTTCATAAGCATTAGCAAACAGGTAATCTTGACGAGGAAGCAGTTAAATTAATAGAGGATCAAGTGAAAAATGTCGTTAATCTTTCATGAATAGGTGTAGGTATAGCCTTTAATGTAGACGTACAAACTATTGTTTCATGTAAGACACAATACAGAAGATGAAGAAGAAGAACGAGAAAATTTTGAACTAATATGGTTGCAAGCCTTACATGTAGCGCAAAAATCACTACAAACTAATTAAAAAAGAGCTATACGGTATCAGTTACATGCCGAATATGCTGTGCTTCTCATTGCCCTCCAAATGATTTAAATTACAAAGGAAGGGGAAAAAAGAAGTCAAGTTCCCTCAATGGCTAACTCTATTACATTGATCCTAATCTTAACTAAATCCTACTACTTTTACCTTGACACTCGCGGATATAGGGTCACCACATGTTTAAATCATTCAAAATGATCTTTCTAATCTCTCATTTTCAACTCAAATTCATTCTAACTTTTGATAAATGTCTCTTAGCTTTTAGAGTACTGCTGCTCATATATCAACATTTGGCATGAGCATGTAGGACCAATTTCAAATGCTTTTCATGTATTGGTTTGTTATGAAGTGACCAAGCACACTTCTTAAGAGTCATTAATTACCTTCTCAACCACCCCCACTAGTCTAAGTAATAGAAAAATACATATCGATAATATGCATCACACAACGAATGCTTTCACAAAATTGAAGTATTGACAAAATAGCTCATACTCTCAATCTACAAAAAAATAAACCCATATTATCATGGAAGCTAATTATAATCATAAAATTTGGGTCCATAAACTGAAATAATTGATGGAACAACCCAACTTACAACAAGGCCTCTTCTTTTTTAACTTCCATCACTGTTTCAGCCACCTTAGTGATCAATGGACCCAAGAGGGAAGAGGCAAACTCAGTAATCCTTGTTGATGCTAATAATGATACAGGGATTTTCTGTGTCCTTCCCCTGGTTTTACCCTTATATACATGTGATTATGTTTAGTAACATGAACCACAACCTGATATTTAATAATTCAGTATGGCATTTGACTTTGTACATATATGTTTTCAAAAGTCATTACCTTTACCGCAGCATGTGTATCCTTGAGGTAAATTAGTGAGAAGATCAACAATAATGCTAACCTAGCAATAGTGAGCCTCCTTTCTCATCTTTGATCTTTGTTTTGGAACATTCAATAACAAGCCTCCTTGAATATTGCTTCTCATCTTTGATCTTTGCTCTCTCAATAGTACTTGCTGTTTTCATCTTTCATCTTTGGTTTGGGCAATTGAGCAATAGTTCTTTCTTAAAAATGCTGCCTATATGAAGAGCTGAGAAGACTATTCTCCAAGTCAAAAAGGAGATTGGTTTGCCGCAAAATACATCATCTTCTTTAAAAATTTGTTAATCCCTGACGCTTCAAAGAAAACATGGGATTCAAGCCAATATCATTTGCAGTTTTTTTGAATTACTTGATGAAGCAGTCTTTTCTTTATCTGGGTACGTGACGGTGCGACATTATGATAAGTCCTCATTTGTTTTTTATCAGCTCCAAACCTTCGTTCTATTCTTCTTGGGGCTACCCTGTGTTGTTGACATTTGGAGGCCAACTGACAAAATTTGTTTCATCAACACCAACACATTCACGTGCATCACCAGAGTTGCCATCAAGTGAATCTCCAGGTATTAGTGAACTTTCTTCACTTGATGATTTTACAGTCATGACGAATTGACGATAAGTACATCAGTGAAATTTCATAACAATCTTTGTGAAGGAAAATCTTATGTTACTTTTCCATGAGCATGAAGAAAATCGTATATTCCTTCACAAAGATTGTTAAGTAATTATTTCAGTTTATGAACCCAAATATTATTGTTATAATGTGCTTTTATGATTAATACAATTTCAGTATATTACTTGTAGATTAAGGGCATAAGCGATTATGTCAATTTTTAATTTTGTAAGGGAATTAATTTATATGAAGCATATCACACGAGTTCTTCTAATAAAAATAACAGTGGAGGAGGAGCTGGTGGTGGTAACAACCCTTAACAAGGCACTGATAACAAAACCGTTACCGTGTTACTTCAATTTAATCAGCTAGGTGATTCTCTTCTAGCACGTGTCTGATCATTAAGTATCAATAAACATTTACGGTCAGCTTTAAGAATCCTCCTCCGCTGCTTCCTAGAGATTCTCCACTGCAATCCTTACCATGTTCGCTTGGCAATAACCTGTTTTAATCTTGATCCTCCAATTCCTGGAGATTCTCCATTGCAATTCTTAACAATGTTCACCAAGCCATAGCCTGTTTTAATTTTGATCCTTGGAGATGAATAAATCCTTTCCACCATGTTCCTTCTAAATTCACTAAAATCTATCCATTCCATTAGTTTTTCCTATTTTATGCTTTATTAGTGACAAGTCCACATTTCCTCAAGGAACAAGGTTTCAGTTGGCTTTCCTCAAGAGAAAAAAGGACAGTCATGCTGTCCTTAACTACTTCTAGTACATACTAAATGTGCTTCAAAAGATCATCAGAGCATCACGATCAAAGCAGCCTTTATAAACTGGTTGTTTTAAATCATAAAATTCTATTGGAAGTTAAGATTTTTTTTTTTTGACCTACAAGACATGCTATTCTCCTAGGCAATATTCATAAATTAAGGAAATAATGGGTAGAGATGGCCATCACTTTCTTAAATGAACTACCAAGAGATAGACTAGTGGTGGGGCTCACCCACCTGGTCACATCAGAGCAGGCAGATTTCACCACTATTATCTCGATAGCTCATTTTCATAATGAGGTGGCATTCTATATACATTACTCCCATATAATTGGTGAAAGAATCAAAGACCAATAACAAATGGTAATCTCTACATGATAAGAAATGAAGTGGGCTTATACACGACGACTTGAAATGTCCTATACAGTCACACATTGCAGCAGACAACTATATAAGATCTCCTACATCAACAATTTGGACAAACCTGGATTCTCCAATGGAAGATGAAGTACTTGCTCTCAGTTCTCAGGCTTTTCGTCGGGAACTGGTTGGTTATCCTGTGTCCATGAGCCCCTTTGTGCTGGTTCCCTTCTTTCAACTTGCATAGTTTCCCTACGCCTGTCATAACGAGGGCGGGGTCGAGTCCTAGTTTGCTGCCTTTCACTAAAACGGAACTGTGGCCTGTGGATGACCTTTCCATCTATAAAAAGATCCCCTAGTGCAGCAAAAAAAAATTAAGAAATGCATGTCCGAATCCAACAGAAACTGAAATTGACAAAATAATTGTATGATTTTTTTAAATCTAAACTTCAGAAGGTGAAAGTTACAAAAATTGAATCCATTACTAGCATTAATTCACAGCATACTGCATGTATATAAAATGATTAACATGTGCGCTTTTGCTGATGCCAGATCAACCAAAAATAGCGGATAGATATTTACTCTATACTCCAGTAATATGATTAACTAACATATTGTAAGATAATAATTAGCACATCAACTCCACCAATTTAATAATTAATAAAGCATGAGAGCTGAAATTAATAATTATAATCAAATGAAATGCCATAAATAGACAAAACATTTTTGAAGTTGCTACTTCCAGAAACTATACAAATGCAATGAGTATTTTGCTGTTACTAACCTCCGTAATCCTTGTTGGGAACATCCAGATAAGAATCAGGTAACACCCAAAGAACACCAGGTAATCCTGCCAGATTAAACAACAAATATCAATTATCACACATATTTCTCTTGAAACCAATTGAAGAAGGGAAGTTTCTTGAATCAATCCACTCAATGGAACCCCAATAATCCAGCACCTTTAACTTTATAAGACAGCTCCTCAGATATCAGCGCACCAAACCCTGTGTATGTTGTGGTACACACTGAGTAGATCTTCTTTTTTGCTTCCTCTTCACTGAAACAAGAATGAACAGATTCACGTTAAATAATTATAATCCCGTGCCTTTTATCACGCTTCTTACTTGAAGATGTTGATCCGTACATCCAATTCTCTATGCGGGAAAAAGATGAATATCTTGTACAAAGAACTTGTTTCAAGTCTACTTAAATAGGAACACCAAAAGGCAAAACATCAAAGCTTATGATTTTCAATTCAACATCAATACAGGATAACAACATATAACAGCTATCCACAAACAAAAAAAAGAATTTCACACATAAGCTTGTTAAGACAATTGATTATAGTATACAGGTTATAAACTTTGTTTTCAATTGCATGATATACGCTGATATTATATGGTGATACAACAATATTTATGCTAATAGGTCCATCGAAAACACTTCACCTATCACAGTTTTCCCATCAAGTTTCGCACAAACAAACAGCTAGTGAAGTAAGCCATTTAAATAGATTGTCATCAAAGTTCTTGAGATGTTTTATATTGGCACTCTAAATCAGGATTAGTTTGGGAAAAAAAACCAAAATCACAGTAATTTGTGCAAAAGTTCCGGAATCAATTAAGGGGTCTTTTCAATCATGGATTCTCATTTTGGTTTGATAAAGAAACAAAATGGAAAGTAGGTCTTCTAAGCAATATTTGTTTGTTTTCTTCATAGAAATTGAAGATGTTGGAATGGGATTTGTGACCCAGTTAATGATGGTCTGCATTAAAAAGAATATAATATGATCACCATATCTTAATTGGTCAGTAAACAGGTGAGTTTACCGTGCAACACAATACATTTATTTTCTAATTATAATGAGTTACACGGTACGTAACGGGTCATGGGACGAATTCGGGTATGCAATTAGCCACTTAGAAAATTTGGATTCGTTAGGGGTAGCTTGCTTTGATATGCAAGTTTGGTTAGTGGTATGCTGTATATATTTTCGCGGTGCGCTTAAAGTTTTTCAAAATATAAAGTAGAAAACTAGAAGGCTAATTATGAATTTTAATATTTTTTTCATACAACATACTTAAATACTTCTTTTTGATGGAGTTTGTTTCTTTGTTAATCAGAGCTCGTTTTAGGATCATGATTTTGTTTTACATTTAATTAGTATACGTGTTTAAGTTACAGTAAAGTCATTAGCTCATATATACTCTATTGTGTCTCCCTACATTTAATTGCACACATTGCATTGCGCTTGCGCATGTGCACTTAAAGAGACTTTACATCTAGTATACTTGTAAGTGGTACATCAAATTTGGGAAACCGGTTCGTGTATCGAAGGGAATCGGTTCGTAGGAACTATACGACGGTTCGAGGGGGGGTCCGGGGAATCGCGCAACAATGATAATAGAAATTAAAGGTAATATGGCGTATACAATCAAAACCAAGTAGCACTTATAATTTTCCTAAAAATTTTAACACAATTTTTTTCTAAAAATTGCTTGACCAGTAGAAGTCTTCCCTCCAACTAATGCTGCCATCTAACGACTTAACATATTTATAATTTAAATTAGAATAATCAAACTTTTTGCAATATCCCAAACTTGAAGATATTTATTTGGTAATAAAAAGAAAATAGAGAGGAAGTGGGGGAGGGGAGAATTCTAAAAGGTTCTTGAAGGTCCTGTTTGGCAAAGGGTTAATGAAGAGGGGTTAAAGAGAAGAATTAATGTACTTAGCCCATTTGATAATCCGAAGGACTAAATTATTAACCCGTTAAATAAGTTTTATTTTAAACCTTATGATCGGTTTTAGTGTTTGGGAATAACAATGATTTTGACTATTTTCTTTATAATTAGAAGGGTTAACTCTTATTCCATCTAAATAGGAGTATTAGTAAACCCCTCATTTTGAGGGGTTAACTCATTTTAACCCCTCTAGAGGGGTTAACTTAACCCTTCTATATTTTTTATGTTTGGCAAATTATGGAGGGTTAACTCACTTTAACCCTTATATAGATTTGTTGTGTTTGGCAGGTTAAGAAGGGGTTAAGTCTCATTAACCCCTCACTTAACCCTTTGCCAAACGGTACCGAAAGGAACTACAAATAACACAAGAAAATAATTGACATGCTTAACTTTGTAGCCTCCTCTTGCAAGAGAGAACAAAGGTCTACCCCGCTTTGTCACCAAAATCTGAAGTCGGAAAGAGGGTTTTCTGGCATTGATTTCATTGAGTTAGCAGCAAAAATCAGTATTTCACTGTATTCTCATGTCCATGAAAACAAACAGAAAATTTTGAAATGGATTTTTGCTCTGAAAAAAGATGTTGCTGGATCCTGCAAATCCCATGGATTCCTAAGGGACCTTTGCAAGCCAATCATTAGTGTGGTCCACAAATTCTATTCTAACATCTTCAATTTCTATGAAGAAAATAAACTTAGAAAACCTACTCCCCATTGCATTTTCTTACCATCCAAATAAAGAATAAGGATTTTGCGAAGTTTGAGAATTTTTGGATTAACAACAAATCCAAAATTCTAAAATGAGAATCCATGTGCAAAACAGCTCATTAGGGGACTTGTGTGTTGGAACTCATCTCAAATTAGGAACGCTATCTACAGTTGACAACCACAACTTGATACACCTCTAATACTTGTACAAGTCTGTAGGTGTTCCTACAAAGTAATTGAAAGTATTTAATATTCTAACTTCAACTTCATTTTTGTCGTTAATATAATCTATTCAATGAAAATAAATAACCATATACAAAACGATAGAAACTTCTTCCCCTCTCAGCCCAAAGCCCCTCTATTCCCGCTTGAATTGCTTAACATATAACCATATCAAAAGGGAATTTTAACTTACTGTAAGTACCATCTAAAATTTAAAATTCCCCAACTATTAAAGTTTCCACTTCTCCATTCGATTTTCCTCCTATTCTACACCATTTTATTGCATGGAATTTGGATTTAGATACAACATTGATATCTTCCATGGTATATCTTCTGCAAAAATTAAAACTTTAAATGTGCAAACTGACTTAAAAAAAAAAACAATTTACCTCCCAACAACCTTCGCTAGGGTTTTGACATAAGCATCAACCATCTCCTCCTCCGATAGCTTCTTATCTTGATCAAACTCCAAAACAATCAACCAGTGCTCGTAATCGCAGCCATCGAGCATGATCGTGTCCTTCGGCGGGCGATTGCTCCAGTTTGGCGACGAATCATTCAGCGGAGAGTAACCCGAACCCGACGTCGTCTTGAACCTCGCCGGAACCGCCGACGGAAGCGCGATTCCGACGCGGTTGAGGGTGGCGACGCCGACGCGGGGGTTTCTTAGGGAGGGGGATGAGAGGAGAGATCGAGAGAGGAGGGAGGTGATGCTGCGTCTGGTCACCGCCGCCATGGATTGGGGTTTTAGAGGTTTTAGGGGTTTTTTGTGGAGTATTGGGACTTTTAGGAGGTGCGGTCACCGCTGAGATTGGAGATGGGGGTGAGTATTTGGAGGAGGAGGTTGGTTAATGGGCTAGCGTTGTTGAGGCCCGTAGAGGTTGGGCTATGATATCGATTAGGGGGTGTTGCTACGAGTACCCAAATGGGGGACAAAGGTAACGTACGGGTGATGTGTTACCATCCGATTGTATAATCTTATATCAACTTAAGTTAACATCAAACTTTTGTCCACTCATTTATATATATAAAAAGACTTTTCATATCATGCAAGGATCCATAGGCAACATAAGTGAATAGAAACTTTGGTGGACCATCAACTTAAGTTGACATAAGAATTGCTCTCGACGATACTCTTATATCTGGAAATTTTAATTTGTAAATGCTCACGCTTCGAAGAAAAAAGGGCCTCTCACTTGACAAAATAAAAAGGGACGTCATCCCATACTGAATAAATGACAGAAATCAGGGCCGGCCCTGACCCTAAGCGGGTCAGGCGGCCGCCTAGGGCCCCCAAAAACGTAGGGCCCCTAATATCTGCTCTCTCTCATTCACTTCATCTCCATGGTTTCTTGTTTAATTTGGAGAGGTTGAAGTCTGCAGATAATGATAGTTTGAAGTGTTCATGTTTTAACCTTGAAGATCTCCTAAAGCATGACAAATTTTTTTATATTAATGGGAAAGAATTATTTTCAGAACTCCAAATCTTAAGAGAAGCATTACCAAGAGGAACAAAAAAAGCAATTGAAGTATTGAATTTTATGGAAATGCTAAATTGTTGCTTTCCAAATACTTAGATTTCTTATAGAGTATTATTAACAATACCAAGGCCGAGAGAAGCTTTTCAAAGTTGAAGCTCATCAAATCTTATCTACGGTCAACAATGTCACAAGAGAGATTGAATGGATTAGCTATGATATCTATCGAAAAAAATTTGTTGGAGAAGCTTGATTGGAACATTTTAATTGATAATTTTGCAGCTCAAAATGCAAGGTGATCCCATTTAATGTAGTATGAATTGTGTTATTTATAAAGCATCAAGAAGTTTTTTGATTTTAATATTAATATGAATTGTGTTATTTATAAAGCATCAAGAAGTTTTTTGATTTTAATATTAATACGATTATGTGCTTATTGTCTCAGAAGTTTTTTGATTTTAATATTAATACGATTATGTGCTTATTGTCTCATTTTAATAAAAAATATTTTGTTATCTTATAAAAAATTTTGTGTATGAAATATTGTATATAGAGGCTCCTCATTTGAAAACTTGATTAGGGCCCCGTGAAAAATTAAGAATATCAGGGCCGGCCCTGACAGAAATACACTTTAATTAAACCCAAAAGCAATAAACAAAAATGCACTCAAAATCATATTCATATGCTTTCTTGACAATTCGATTGCGATACTCCCTCCACATTTTGTGATGCACACATCACGTGCACCAGAATACTAGCTAGTAGGTATAGTTTGAAGATAAATGCAATTTTTATTGCAACCCATGTTTTATTGCAGTTTAAAATAGTTTTGTTGAAAAGAGTCAGAGAATCATTTATAAAAAAAATTCATGGAAGGAGGTAGGAAAAAGTTGATACATGTGTCACGACCTACTTTAATTAAGCTGCAAACAACATGTATGATATAGCATTATAAACAAAGAACTTAATAAAGGAATCAATCAATCGACGACATTAAGATTGATATCAGGGCATATATCGCTTTCTTCTCCCTCTTCACATGATGTCTACAGAGAACTCTCTATATGATCTTTTTTGCTATAGTGTTTCCTTTTATGGTCATGCATGATGTGTGTGTAAAGAGTATTGATCATGCACACAGGAGGCAATTCTAAAGAGGATTTTAGTATCACGTACGGACACAAAAACAAATAGTTTCTCAGAAAAATATTTAACCTCCTAAATAAAAAATAGTACTTACTCTGCAAAATCATAATCAACTTGTACATAATAACCAACCTCAAAGCAAACTCTGAGGCACTTTGATACTTCTCTGCAATTATGAAGCTTGAACCTCTCCCCAGATCTAAAAAAAAAAAAAAGATCCTCACAGAACTTACGACAATCTTCCAGAAAATTGTGATACAAAACTATCCATCTTCCGTCGATCATGAAGATGGAAACCCAGAAATATATACAAATATCCATACAAATTGCAAGAAGAAAGCACGTAGTTACTATTTTTTTTTTTTTAAATCCCTAATCAAACTTCATCCTTGTGGACCTGCAAAATTTTAACCTGATGCGTCTGAAAACATTTTGCAAGTGACTTTGAAAGCGTGCTATCAGGCTTCTTGGATGTGGCAACGAGTCCCTTGACATTAAAGCATTTAGAGGTGATATCGGAGGCAGCACCATTGATGTGCTCCAAGTTTACGTCGTGGAGCTTCACATTCTCGCAGGGAACCGAGGAACTGCACTTCAGGTTCACCGCGACGGGGCGACTTGATGTCCCCGATATCCTATTAAACGTCACGTTATTTACCTTGAACAAGGAGGGCTGCACACAAACGGAAATGCCCTTAATATTTAGCACGACACTGATACTGGAGGCAGTAATTTTACAGCTGCGAAACTGCCGAAAACTTATTAAAATCCCTTTAACTTAATTTGTTTTTCCACTAAACCCCCAAAGTGTTTTAACTTTTTCCAGAAAACCCCGAGCAAAATGCCTCTTGCAATTGAAATATCCATCCAATTCCACTATTTTCTTGTTTTTCTGGGGGCTCATCTTCTCCTATTATCCTCTCCTCCTTCCTTTTTTTTTTTTACTCTAGTAAGATCCACTTTAAATGCATGGTTGGTGATATTTGAACTTGGGTTTCTTTGATAACTTATAAAAGTCCCTTACGATGCACCACAATTTCGGACTTTTGGTGCCATTGGAGGACTGTTAACATGCTGTCAAATCCCATTAAGTCACATGCTTAACCAGGATTAAAAAGGAAAGGATATAACTACCAGAGTCCAAGTTTCAGTTCATGAAAAGGAAGCTCAACCTTTTGAGGGCATGTGGAGCATAAAATTATAGCTCTCAGTCGTCATTACAGCTTTAAAGTTTCGGTGGAGTAGAATAGACTTTTATAAAACTTACGATCTAAGTCTTACCTTATTTGAGCATGTTTTTTTGGGACAATACTCCTGATCTATGATGATTGGACGGGAGACATTGTTCACAATGATATCTTCAAATTTGAAGTTCGAAGCTCGACCAGGTTGCGAACCAGGCCACGTCTTGATACGGATACCGTTCTGTGTGTTTGAAATTGTGCAGTTATTAACCTTTACCCCAATCACGTCCTTGTCATCCATGTACTTTCCTAGACCCCCAACACTGATATCACCAACACAACTTATTAACAAAATCAATGGTATGTAAAACCCTAGGGTCTTTTACGTATTAGCCCCCTACATCTTTCATATTTTGAAATACGTCCCTAAAATCGTTGAAATTGCTATTGGGTCTCCGAATTCTCATAAGCTCCAATGGCTACCTCTACTCTTGATTGTAGCGACTAACTAGACACAGCTTATGAAAATTTGGGGATCTAAAAGCAATTCCATTGCTTCGAGGGATTAGTTTTAAAGTATGAAAGTTTTAAGGGATTAATATAGAAAAAACCTAAAATTGTAATATTGATAAGAATTTTGATCCTTCACCTGATCCCGTGTCCAGGGCCACAATTTACGCCAGAGATTGACACATTGTTGTTACCTGGGCCAATGGAGATGCAGTCATCACCAGTGCCGATGGCGAGGCGAGTAACATTGATATTATTGCAGTCACTTATGTGGAGTCCGTCAGTGTTCGGGCTATCTCCAGGTGCGGATATATTGAGGTTCAACACGGTCACAAAATTGCTCCTCTGAATGGCCATGTGATAGCCCTTGCTATTAAGAAGCGTTAGATTGGCGATTGTTGCATTGCTGATCTTAATGAATCGTGTTGACTGCAAGAGAGCTTGTATCGCTAAGTCGTCAGTGATTCTAGCAGTGCGAAAAAAAAAAACTAAATGCACAAGCTATTTAAACAAGGTTGACTGTAGATACATTATACATCCAGCGTGTTGTGGAGCGTGGTACAACTGCTTATACTTTGTAAACTATTTTAAAGGATGAGCATAGCTCTCACCAGTGGAGAGTTGTGGCAATTCCTCCCTGTACACCTTGTTAGATTCCAAGAGGTAGCGCCCTGGGCATCAACAACGCCACCACCCTCGATAATGAGCTTATTAAGAGCCCTGAATTCCAACCAAGCGATCGTAGTTATGCTTGTGGGGCTTGCGGGGGCTAGTAATTTCCCCTTGATCTCAAACTTTGGAGACGTGTTGTTGGAGCAAGGGCCTTGAAAGATGATTTGGCCAAGAAGGAAAGACCCCTTCGGGATCAAGAAGCTTGCAGCTCCTCTGTGTTTACATGCAGCACTCCAAGCATCTGAAAACGCCTGAGAGAGAGAGAGAGAGAGAGAGAGAGACCAGTTAGTCTTGAACTAATTTTGAGGATCAATGCAATGATAGGATCCACTTGAAAGTTAGATTGCGAAATCACATAAGCATGCTTGCATTTTTTACGGGTTAATTGCTGATTGACACCCCCTTTAATATCGACCAATTGCGGATAGACCCCATAGTTTTTTGTTGCTGACAGACCCTTGTATTATTGCCCAATTGTAGACAGACCCCCTTGAGTTGATTTTTTTAACAGTTTTACCCTCAGGAGATTTGTTTGTCAAAAAAACAATTCTCTTTCTCTAAAGGGTAAACGAGTCGAAAGAATTCACTCGGGGCTCTATCTGCAACAATAAAACTACAGAAGGTCCATACGACATCAGACGATAGTACAGGGGGTCTATGCACAATTAACCCTTTTTTTTTTAAAAACACACATATATATATCAATGCTAAACTCACCTTGCTATTATCAGTTTTCCCGTTGGAAATTGCTCCATACTTGGTCACGTCGAAGACCTCCTGTCCACGACAAGGTCGGGGAACGCATATTACCAACCAGGAGAAACAAGCAAGTTTCAGGGTTGTTTCTAAGGCTACACGATTATGTATTTGGCCAAGTTTGAATCTTTCCGCACGAAAGAGCCTTGAATACTCCATCTCCTTAGGATGGAAGAAGAAAATGAAGAGCAAGGACAAATTGGTTGCTTAGACGTTTACTTATTTCGTAGTTAACATATCACCTTGAAACGACTGGTTCCTGTCAAAGGGCTTGAAGAGGTTGTTATAACTTAAGTGCTATTTCCTCTCATGGCCTCAGCTCTAAATCTGGAAGTTAATCTCACAAGGCACTATAATTAGTTGAAGGGATCATGTTAAGATAGATAAACCTGGAGGTTCATCTGCAGATCCTTTCGGGGCTAGTGATTTTCAAATTCTAATAAGACATCAAACGGCAAACCACCATGCATCCACTTCTGCAGGTGCTGCTTCCAATTTCATCTGTGAGAGACCCACTAAATAAAGATAGATATGAATATTATCATGTTACTCAGGAGGAAAAAAACCATAAATATGGATAACAAAGTGCTAAGATAAGAGCAACCAAATGAGTAAGAATATGAGAAAGGACCAAGGTACAAGCGGTTGAGAGCATAATCTAATTGGCTGCGCATATCTCATTCAAAAAAATAAATAAATAATATAAGAGCACCATGGAGACGCCCCAAAGGAGTTCATTCAAGATCTTTCACTATATAGGAATTTCAAAATTAGATTGCAATATAAAATGTAATTAATTTGACGGCCCCATATAGATGTCCAAGACTCGCACAAAGAAAAAGAAGTTACCCTTGCAAATTCAAAACGTCCACCCTTACATTTTTCTGCTCAAGGATTTGCTATAGTTTCTGACATAGGCACTGTTTGGTTGGGTTGTGGGTTTTTCTTTTCTTTTCTCTTTTTTTCTTTCTTTCTTTTTTTTTTTTTTTTTTTGGGGGGGGGGGGGGGGGGGTCATGAGAGAAGAATAAATTCTTTTTATTATTCTGAAATAAACAAAATAAACAATGTAGA